GAAAACCACCCTAAGTGCGCACTATCTCAATTGGAGAGAACTCATACCTCCCGCACTAAAGCCGAACTTTAGCCATATTATAGTAACCATGTCCCAAGTGACTCCAAAATAAATAAGTTAACAACTTATGTATATACGAAACAACATCCCATGCACAAGTAGTTTGTAACCACACAATACATGCTCCAAATCCACAACTACTATAGGATGACAAATGTCGAATCTTCAGAGCGCGATTCGTTACGCGCTATAATAACATCACATGTCGAATCTTTAGTGTGCGATACGTTACACGCTATAACAAGATAATCCAATATTGGAACATAATCTCATAAATTCATTTCAAGTCTAAAATCATGCTTTAGATATACAATCAACGTCAGACACATGATTTAAATCCATAATGCAATAGAAATGGAATTTAATCAAGTAAACTAATTAATTCCTCTAAGTTGCAATTCTCAACCAAATGGCCTCAAATTACACATGTTAGCAACATAGCATAGTCATTGCATATACCAATTCCAAAACTTGATTAGGCCAATTGAATAACAAAATGGAATTTAATTAAATCATGATAATCAAATCCCTAAATTCTAAAATAACATAAAATGGTCCCATATTAACATATACTAGTATACAAGTCCTAGTCATCTCAAATATCAAGTCAAAACTTAATTAAGCTAAAGGAACCATTAAATAGATTTTAATTAAAGTTTCTAGATTTTCTTACTTATGTAAATGCTCTTAAATTTAAGTATGTTAAATAACATGCCTAGACTTGATTTAAAAGCATGCTACAAGTCAATTTCATGCAAGGTACATCCATGTAAATTTAATCTTGTACAAAGAATTAAATATTACTAATTTTCTAGATTTGATACAAGTCATGCAATCAAGTTGTATAATCATGGAAAATACCCCATACCCCATATACAAAATCCTAAAACATCCCCTACCTCAATTGGAATGAAAATCCCAATTACCACCGAAGTGAAATCGCCCCAAATTTTTGGTCCGCAAGACAGATATTTCAGCTTGTTACCTTTAACTTAGGAAAATTCATAAAAAATTCAATTCTAATCCAAATTGAATGAATCCAAAGCCCAATGAAAGCTTAAACACTGTAATTTGATAATATCAATTTAGTTTAACAAAATATTTTCCCAATTGAAACCGTTTTGACCCATAACTTTGAAACAAATTCTGCCCAGAAAACACATTTTCAGCCAGTAGCTTCCAACTTTGAAAATTCATGAAAAATTAATTTAACATCCAAATTGGGCAAACCTAATTTATTTTAGAAATAAACATATGAGAGTATAAAGCTGGAAATTTAAGCCATGATCCAATGTCAAAAGGTTAGTGAAATAAATCATCTAAAAATATGTTTTCCAGCTGCAACAAAAACATGGACAGCAGATAGTCTCGGACTTTTTAAAAAAATTTAGAAATGCTCTAAAATCGTAAAAAAATTCTGAGTAGTGTAAAATCCATGGGGAAAGTTCCAGTAAAAATTTCAAGGTAATTGAAGCACCACAACTCCATATAAAAATTCGTTTCCGGACAGGATAAGAAAATATTTAAATTTCCAACAACTAGCTTGCAATTTCAAAAATTCATAACTAATTCATTTTAAATCCAAATTACATGAAACCAAAAACTAAATGGAAGCTAATTTATTATATTTTTATGTTATATATTTAATTTGACAAGATTTATTTCAAGTTAAAACAATTTAAGGGCATAATACAAGTCCTTCTCTTCATGCATGTAAAACACTCAATAATGATATAAAAATACTTCAAAATAATAGATCAATACCTCACTAGAGAATTGAATCTCTAGATACCAAAGCAAAACTAGGAGTTAGGCTAGATCCTTCAAGGGTTTTGAAGGGGAGGATGAGGGGAACAAAAGTATCCAAGCTTTATGGTCTAAAGTAAGTGGAAGGGCCTCAAAGATCAAGGTCAATGCCTAAAGCTTCAAGCTTCAAGCTTTATCTATGGAGGCTAGGGTTTTGTGGTGAGGAAAAAAGAGATGAAATGTGAAAATGTGTGAGTGAAGGAAATAGAAATCCTCCACTCACTATGTGATCCTACAACATGGTCAACACACATATCTATGGTCAATTGCACAAAAACCTCCTTTAAAACCATAATCCCAAAGTGGCCCAAAGATATTTGCAAGACTAAATTGTGAACCTACACTTGTCACCAATCCATGGCTCCTTCCTAGGCTTAATCTCACACCTACACTTGTCAACCATCCAAGCTAACAAGTGCACCAATCCTAGGCCAACAAGTGGGTGAATCCTCACCCTCTAAATGTCATCATCCAATGCATCAATGTGTTTCCACACAAATGTCAACAAGTGGACCAATGAGAGTGTGACACTTGTCACACTTTTTTAAAATTGCAAAAAGGTCATTTTTGAAAATATCTTCCAAATTTAATTGCAAAATGGTCCCCAAGATGAAAAATATTTACTTTATTTAATTACACTAAAACCCCACAAGTTAAGAAGAATTACACTAAAGTATGCATTAATGCCCCTTTATGAAGGAAGTATGCAATCAACATGCTTTTCTAGAAAGGTAAAAATACCACTATCATGGAAATCAAATATCATAAATGCATGTAAAACCGGAATCAAATCCGAGCACAAAAAATGAGGTTGTGAAAGGAAAAAGACAAAATGTGAATAGTGTTCGGAAAAATAAAATATGGAAATGACACAATCCCCAAAGGAAGTTGTCAATCAAAGGAAAAGAGTCTCGAAAATCATTCTAGAGCACTCGAGACGACATCAAGTGATGAAAAACTGAACCCAAAAAGGAAAAGACAACGGGAAAAAAAAATATCCGTTAAAATCTAAGAAAAAGAAAAGGAAGAAAAATGACTGGATCATTATAATATTAAATACTAAAATACTAAAATCAAGTTTATTTTTGAACATTAGATTCTTCAACACGCCCACACAGGTGACCTTCTTTTGGTCCAATTGATGTTTTAATTTTAATTATTAGGGATGTAACGACCCTAAATTGATACCAATTAAAAAAAAAAAAAAAAAAAATTCAGGATGACCTCTGCTAAAAAGGGGCCTTTCAAGACTTATCCAACTTGTCCCAACACACAATACAAAAAAAAAAAAAAAAAAAAAAAAAAAAAAAAAAAAAAAAAAAAAAAAAAAAGAAGAAGAAGAAGAAGAAGAAGAAGATAACATAATACATTTCCCAAAACAATAAAATCAATAACCTCCTCAAGTTGGCCTTTCATCATCATCCCATTCAAAACAATTTATTTACATAGTCTCGCTTCCCTTTAAAATACCAACAAGAGTTATATTTTACAATACATGACCATGGCTTGCAAAATGTTTACACTTCACTATGGTTTTTGAGACTTTACAAAAGTGTAACAAATATACAAAAGAGAGCAAAAAAAATATTCCTAGTCCTCCTTAAGTTTGTGAAGGGTCTGCGTCTCCTACTTCCTTCCTGAATCTTGAAAAAAATGTTAAATGAAATGGGGTGAACAATTTGCTCAGTAGGTGGTGCCTAAGACACACCTCTTGTAACCCTATGAATCCAAATAATGAATAGAAATAGAGAATAGGGGTCATGCTATGCCAGGAGAGAAGACAACTTCACTTCCAATTTCAAAATAAACAATGCCATGCCATGATATGCGATGCCATATATGTCACTCCCCATTTTTAAAATTCTAAATCCATCACTTTTCAAATTGTTAATATTACCCGCCCTTTGGTGACTCCGCAGCAACATGAGAGAATGATTAGCTACTATCCCTAACCCTTGGTACGCCTGCGACGTCATTTGGGGCCCAGCTTACTCAACCACGCTAGGGCGATCTCCCTAGTTCCCTTTAGGTTATATTAACCGGGTTTTCTCAAAAAAGCATTTTATCCAAATTCTTCCCAAAAAAAAAAAAAAAAAAAAAAACCCTTTCTATTTCATTTTAAATAATTTGCCCTTTTTCATGCCCAAGGTTATGAATGTATGTCACATGCTTTGCCATTTGCAAGGAAATAAAAATTTCTACAACATAATTTAGCAAGCATTCTCATAATCATTTCTATCAAAATAATAAACAATAGGCATGAAAATTAACACTTAGGCATGCTTTTTTTTTTTCATATAATTCCATCAACACATATAAGCATAAATTTCAATTACAAACAATTATATTATTTTTAAGGCAATCAAATTCAAAAAGAGCATGTTTTCCATGTAAATCAACAAATACACATAATTAAATGCTTCATAAACACAATTAAATCATTTAAGAAATAATCAATTCAAATTAATCATGCTTAACAACAATTAAAGTTGAAAAACTCACAAAGGAACAAGAAAGTGAGGATTAGAGACCCTTACCTCAAGATTATGCAAAACCCCCAAATTTATGCCCTAGATTTCGAATTTCCTATAGTGCACCAACCAAGGAATTGCTCCTATCAACTTGTAGGTCTCGCCGTGAGCTTCAATTTGCCACAAACGGCATTCAAAAATACCAAGTATTGAAGGAGAAATAAAAAAAATTGAAGCCTTGAAGTGAAAAAAAAAAAAAAAAAAAAACTGAGAGGAAGACAGAGACCAGCGGGAGAGAGGATGAGAGAACAGAGAGCAAAATGTTCGCAAAACGGTAAAAGATGAAAATGCCTTTGCAACGACAAAATTTCAGAAAAATAAAAAATGGAGAAAATTGGAAACATCACAAGGGTAGAAGAGCTCTCTGATTAGAAAAGGAGATTAAAACTCCTAAAAATCTGTTAGAGTATAATAGACAGATACCGTATGTTCTATAATTAGAAAAGGAAAAAAACTTCTAAGTGAAGATTCTTTTGTAAGACCTGGAGAAGGGTGCTAATAACATCAATGATTATCAGGAGACTAGCAAGGCCTTAGTATGCCAATAGTTATTTGAATGATGACAGTTTTCTAGTTGTATCTATAATGTCTTTGATCTTGCAGGTATGGAAACTAAGAATGAAGACATTGAGTTACCATTTTTTGATCTGGACACTATTGCAATTGCCACTAAGAACTTCTCTTCCAAAAATATGATCGGAGAGGGAGGTTTTGGTCCTGTTTGTAAGGTTAAATAAGTAATATTTGGTTTGATATGTAATTAAAAAAGGTGAACCCCTATTTTAACATTTCTATTCAAAAACTTGTAGGGTAAGGTAGCAACGGGACAAAAAATAGTAGTCAAGAGGCTTTCGAATAATTCTGGACAAGGCCTACAAGAGTTCACAAATGAAGTTATTTTGATTTCCAAACTTCAACACCGGAATCTTGTTAAGCTATTGGGCTGTTGCATTGAAGGAGAAGAGAGGATGCTAATATATGAGTACATGCCGAACAAAAGCTTGGACTATTTCATTTTTGGTCTAGTTCTCTTCACCCTTTATCTTATTAGATCAATTTCATGGTGCAGTTTATACATTTATGCAGTACAGTCCTCTGCCCTATTTAAAATAAATAAATAAATAACAAACTGATGTAGACCTTATATGGATGGAAATGTCATGCAAATCAGAATAGAAGACTAGAACTTCCATGGCAAAAGCGATTTGAAATTGCCATGGGCATTGTTAGGATATGTTTGCCCTAGCATAGCAAATTCTAATTTTGGATTGTAAAAGTCATGGTTTCTTGTTTGGATATTATTATTAAAGCATTATACAATTGGTGAATGGAATGTATTATTTTTCGATTCTTTATGGAATTGATGGTGTCCGCTTGATTACAAAATATATTTATATATGTATGTAATGGCAATTAATACTGTGATATAAATTAGTAATCATAAATGGTTTAAAGTCGGTAATTATGGATGGACATTTAATTAGTTAAGACTTAAACCGAGTCCACGATAGATTGAAATATATTGCGAGAGTTGTCGTATGCAATTGCTCTCTATCACAGTCATGGCTTTTGACTCTCAAGTATGAGAGAAGTATAGACTCTTTTATTAATTAATAATTACTTTGATTTGTTCGGCAGATACCTCGGGATCCTTAGATCGACACTTTGGGTAGTTATGTAATTAATAATTAGAGGTCTATATTCTCAATATTTGCATCAGTGCTATTTGTATTTATTTTGTTTTGATTATGGTTGATCACAAATTAAATTCGAAGGCATTCGTATGTTTTAGACAAATGTTATATATATATATATATTTATTTAATAAATTATTATTATTTTTTGTCAAATAAATATTTTATTGTGATCGAGCCGGAAATAATCAAAGGTAACAAAATAATTATATTAATTATGTTGTCGGATTGATGACTTTAATTATCCGATAAATAATTAAGCATAGAGGGGTCAAAGTGCAACATTGACTTAGAGGTTATTTACTATTTAATTGGAGTGCAATTAATTTCTTTTAGTGGAGTAGAAATTAATTTATGAATTAATTGAATTGGGTCCATGGTTTAATGAACCGGACCAATTATTAATTTATAGGAGCTAAGAAAATAGTAAGCCCAAAAGGATTCTCACCAATAGCCCAAGTTGATATTGGAGTCATGTTAGGATTGAGAAAGTTGAATTAGAGATGGAGAATGATTTATTGTTTCCTTATTCTTATTTTTATTTTGCCTATATATACATGAGTTCATGTATATTTTAGGGGTGACTTGGAGAACAAGAAAAAGGAATACACTTTCTCTCTCTATATTTTAGGGTTTTGTTTTCTCTTCTAAAGGAGGCTACCACCAACTTAGATTCCAAGGTCATTCATCAAGGCATATTGGTGATTCCTAAAGGGAAGATAATAATCTAACGGAAGGAGAAAGGATCTTGCTAAAGGGATCTACAATAAGTGAGAACATTCACTTTAGAGGAAAGTTCAAAAGGTTTACTCAGACCTTTCATGTAAATATTCAATCTGTTTATTGAATTATGCATCATCTTTTATTTATCTTTGCATAAAACTTGTCTCTGTGTGATGAATCAAGATCCGTGATTGCAAATCCCTCAAAAGTTTTAAAAACTTGCACGTTTCCCAACAGGCATATTAAGGGGAATTCTCTACCTTCATCAGGACTCAAGATTAAGAATTATTCATAGGGATCTCAAAGCAAGCAACATTTTACTAGATGAAGAACTAAGTCCGAAAATTTCAGACTTTGGGATAGCAAGAAGTTTTGGGAGAGATCAAATTAAAGCCAAAACAAAGCGAGTAATCGGAACATAGTAAGTTTTGTTTACCAAAACAAAGCAAGTTTTGTGAACAAATTTTAGATAGTACTTGTTCATCAGTTTCATATGCTTAAATTTGATACTTTATGCAGTAGTTATATGTCGCCAGAGTATGCCATTGATGGAAAATTTTCAGTAAAATCTGACGTCTTTAGTTTAGGTGTGCTTTTACTTAAGATCGTGAGTGGCAAGAAGAACACGAAATTTCACCATCCTGATCACTATCATTCTCTTTTGGACCATGTATGGTGAAATGCATTACCTGTTTTATTTTATTTTTCTTTCTAACTTCCTATGTGAAATACTAAATTTGAGGATTGTGATTGTTACAGACTTGGTTGCTGTGGAATGATCACAGAGTCCTGGAACTAGTGGATTCATGTTTGAAAAGTACATACATTGAATCTCAAGTACTAAAATGTATTCAAGTGGGTCTACTATGTGTTCAGAAACTGCCAAACGACAGACCAACCATGTCATCAGTAGTTTTTATGTTGGGTAATGAGGGGGTAGCATTGCCTGAACCCAAACAGCCTGGTTTCTTTGTGGAAAGAAGTTTTATTGATTCAGATTCATCAACGGGTGAGAGAAGTCATACTGAAAATGCATTGACAATGACAATAATGGAACCCAGATAGAAGTAGCGCCTATTGCATAATGTTGTTGTAGTGATGGAGTTGATTCATATCAAGGAGAGAAAAAAAAAAAAAAAAAAAAAAAAAATATTGTAATGTATATACGTGGATTGTTTTATTTGTTAAATCAAATTTTCTGAAAATTTAGCTTTGACTGCTATTCACCTATTGTAAAGAATTGGACAATGAGAAGTGGATGGGGCTGAGATATACTCCCATTTTACTAACTATTCAACTGTATTAATTTTTTTTAATTTATTTTAAAGTTAAAAATTAAAGCCGACTTTGTGTCTGGATGATGAAACTACCTTTCTGATGGAACTAACCCTAGGCAGGAATTTGTTGACAAATTTAATAGCGACAATTAAATCACTCGCTCTAATGAATGTCCTTGAATCTTCCTGGAGTATGTATAGAAGAATGTGAAAATCATATCACTCCTCATCCCAAAATACTATCTAATTACACAATGCCAGTGAAGGCATACATACGCTAAAAATTTCTTTAAACTATTTTGGCATAAGTATCTTCATAAGCAGTACTAATTAAAAATTAAAAAAAATTCGTGCTAGATTTTTGGAGCGCCCCAAATTCAAAAAACCCAACTGATGCGAGAAAGATGAAAAGAAAGTGAAAAAAAATGAAACGAGTGCTGAACTCGGAACCAAAGCCTCAATGCGGGAGCAAAATCCATGTTAACCCCATGCAACGGAGAGAAAAGGATTTAGGAAAGTTGTAATTCAATTTTTAGGTTTCATCTTAATATAGTATTTTTATTGGAGATTAAAGTTTCAATCACCGTGTATATTAAATTATATATGTGTTATATATATACATCACATTGCATTTCTCTAAAAAGATACTTAAGATTGCATCTCCTTTATATAATTAGAGTTAGATTGTGTATTGCTAGTTATATATAAAAGATTTTGTTTTTGATTATTAATATCCATCTATTACTTTGATAGGCATTTGTTCATTGCTATAATGATCAAAACTAAAGATCTGTGCGACTCCTAGAAACAAAAGTAAAGAGAGGAATTTTACAAAAATTTGCAAAGCATTAAAAAATTGTAAAACATTATAGTTTTTGTTCTAGATTTTGTATAAATAAAATTCATATGAGTATTTGAGTACCATGAAAGTTGTTATGAAAACGAAAAAGAACGGTTATGAAAAACTGAAAAGATAAGAAAAGAGGAGCTGACGTATTTTATTGAAACAAATAAGAGTAGTAATGATGCCTATTTAAGTTGGAATTTTAGAATATCACATCATATTTTTATCTCTTTGTCGATTTTAAGTCGGGATATTAAAGTCGTCAATAACTTGAAAATAAAATTAAAATTTGGAATTCTATGTTTATTATTCTTGTGGTCTTGTACTTTTCAAGTAATGAGATTCAGTTTGATTTACTAATAAATTATTTAACAAATTAAACTTTGGCTTGGATTTTTATTTTTTCTTCTTTCTGCTCAGCGTAATTTTAGGTCTAAATTGCCCTTATTAATTTGTTCACAATTTTCTCAACTTTCAATCCGATCATCATCAATAGTTATATATATAATGTGCTATGTGAGTGATAGATTTTATTGATTTGGTCGACTGAAAATTTTTCAATGTTATTTGAAGTATTTTTATTGACATCATAAAAACTTGCAAGTAATTTTTTTCTAACTCTAATTCCAATTAAAGTCACCAAATACATGTTATCAAATCAACCAAGTGTTAAGGAGTTTCTTTTGGTCGGGTGTGGAGCTCAAGAAGACAAGTGCTAAGGTAGCAAGGACAGCAATCTGTAGATCTAAAAATCTTGGAGGACTTGGTTTTCCCTATCTAGATCTCACAAATAGGGTTTCTAGCCTTAAACACGTGTGGAGACTTTGTTCAAGGAAAGAAAGCCTTTGGGTTAATTGGACATACAAGTATTTAATCAAGAGGAAATCTTTCTGGACAGTAAAAGCAACAAGCACAAGTTCAGGATTTTGGAGGAGACTACTCAAGCTGAGGGACGTGGCTAGGGGACTTGTCAAGCACAGTGTAGGGAAGGGGAGCAGCATTAGCATGTGGTTGGATTTTTGGTTACCAAATGGCCCTATTATACAGCAGCTCAACCTAACTGAATTGGAAAATCTTCAACTGGACCCTCAGGTCAGAGTTGATAGCCTAATTTCCAATGATCAGTGGGTGATTCCGCCTTCTCTCCTGTAGACCCCTTTATTTCAATCACAGGATTTCAACTCTCAGCTGCAATCTATCCCTGCACCAACAAGTGATAATGACCAAATCCATTGGCTCCCAAGTATGGCAAAGGAGTATTCCCACATGCACACTATGGACTACTTCTCTCCTCCCTCTTTTGTATTTGCTTGGACTCACCTAATATGGTTCAAACACTATATTCCCAAAGATGGTTTTATTGCATGGTTAGCACTGAAGGAAAGGCTAGCAACACTGGACACAAAACCAATGATGAAGAAACACTATACAAATGCATGCTACTTATGCCTTGCTGATTGTGAAGCCGTGGATCATTTATTCTTCAAGTGTAAGTTCAGTAGTACCATTTGGGATTATGTACTGCATGCTGTAGGTTTCTATATCAAACCAGATTCATGGAGGGACCTGATTGCTTGGTGTTCATCAACTTAGACACAATATTACTTCATCACTCACAAGCTTCTCCTTTCTTGTGCCATATACTTCATTTGGCAAGAGAGAAATTCAAGAGCCTTCAGGAACAAGTCTACAACAGCTAACCAAATCATTAATCTCATCAAAGGATGCATCAGAGCTAGATTTGCTTCTCTCAAAGTAAGAAATGCTGCTAAATTGAGTAAGATTGACAATGTAGAAGCTATACAACAACTCTTTTTACAAGGATGTGCATATGCAAGAGGTCAATCATGGTTTCTGCTGCACCAATGATTACTTTTGCCTGTTACAACTATTGATAGGCTAGATTTGTAATAGCTCTATTGACTGTACAAGATGTTAATGTCTGTTTTGTTTTAAGCCATGGAAGTTTTCTTCCATTGGTTGCTTTTTTGTACATATTTTATATTTATAAAGCTTACCCTTTTAACCAAAAAAAAAAAAACAAAAAAAAAATCAACCATTACTTGGGAATTAAAAATATATGTAAAATGAGAAGCCTAATCTAGATGTGAATTTGTGTTTAGTTCTAAATTTTACCTAGCAATGATTTAGGATTATTATTATTATTATTATTATGAAATGACAAATAAGTGTGTGTGTTTACAAGGACAATTAAAAATGTTAACGAAAATAATTTCTTACATTCTTTTTTTCCTCGATAAAAATTTCTTATATTTTGTTTTTATAAAATATTCTCAAAAAATAAATGATAATATACTGAAATGATATTGGCAATAGAGGTGAATGTCACCACCAGCTTATCATATGGGCCTTCTAGATGCATCTTTCCTAATATTTCAAATAATTAATTTCAGATGGCCAAGATATACCTACCATAATTAAAGTCAAGGGTAGTTGATAGATAGTTTATGTTTGGACATCCTTACTGTAGGTGCAAAATTTCTCTCTATTATAATAAATAAAAAGAAAAATACAACTCACTCAAAAACAAGCAAAAATAAAACTCAGAATAAGTATATAATGCTTGATGATTTTATTGGAGGTCTAGGCCTCTATTTATAAGAAATACAGTGGTGGAATTTTGGTAGGATTCGCATGGCTTGTCCTCCAATTCATTCCATATATGATTTTCTTTACATCTACAATCCTTTCATTTCTACAATTCTTTTTATGTTGAATTTTCCTTGTATAGAACTTGCTCTCTTTTGTGATTCCTTGGCCTAGCAGGACATGACTTCCCTTTATCAAGATTGGGCTGAACGTGGGCTGGCCCTGATGATTCGGCTAATGGGCTTGGATCTCGCCATTGGTATGACGGGTTATCGTTGTCTGGGCTTAGAAGTTGGGCCATGTGGCTCGGGTTTGCGATCAATATGGGAGCCAAGGCCTTATCTGGGCTTGCTCTGGACTGGGCTGATCTGATTTGGGCTTAGTATCGATTGGCTAATGTGGTATCTGAATTCATTTTGTAGTGTGACGATGTGGATGATTATTACTGGAAGGGGGATTTTTTCCCTTCACACTTTGCCCCCATTTCCCTTTTTAATTGGGCCACGGCTCCTAATAAAATGGGAATTGAAGTTACACGGTTGCTAACTCTTCACAAGACGGTTCGAGGTGTGTCTGTTGCCATTCTAACGAAAAAGGGCCTCTTCATAGTTCGTTTCGTACCTCGCGACATTCATTTTGCTCTTTGCTTCTACGCGATCTCAGGTTAGTCCCTCATTCATTTATCTAATTTCTTTCACATCATGAGCTCCTCATCCACTCATGATAGTATAGACATGGTAGATTCGGATTCTACCTCTTCTTCTTCCCCTAATCTCATCAAGATTCCTCCCCTTAGGGTTTCTGACCTTGTTGAAACCACGAACGATTCAGTTGTTCAGATGGATATCTCCCCTTCACTAGCTGAAGCATCCACTTCAGGGTCCGATTGCGTGTTTACTAAGGGAGAGAGAGAGAGTTGATTTTGTCTGTTCATCGTATCAAGCTCTTTATCGAGTTTGTAATAAATGATTATGAAATTCCTGTCGTGTACCCAAAAAGGCTGACTTTAGTTCCGGTGAAGGTGCAGTAGATAATGAATTGCTTCTATCAGTTGGGCAACTCAACGCTCTTCGTTTCCCTCTTCATCCCTTCTATCACCTAGTTTTTAACAAATTAGGGATTGCCCCTTTCCAAGTGAACCCTAACTTCCTTCGAGTGGTTTCGGCTCTTCTAGTTCGCCGAAGGTTGGAAAGTCTCGACTTGACTTTTGCCAATCTACTTACAACCTATACCATTGCTAGGCATGGGACTGAGCCTGGCTGCTTCTACCTCACTTCTCCCCTTCATCAGAGAATATGCACGGACCTCCCTTCCCCCGAGAAGAAGTAGAAGGAGAGGATGATAATTGTGAAAGGGAACTGGTTTATGGACAAATCGAATTCCCTTCCCATTCCTCGCAAATTTGGGAAGTTAGGTATAGAGTACCTTCCCTCATTTTATGAAAAATGCTCTGGTTATTTCCCATGTCATGTTTTATTATTTCGCTATACTTATGAATTTCTTGGTCGTTCTTTCAGCAACCTTTCCTCCTTCCGTAGCTAAGAAGTGGCTTGCCTTTTCTCGAAACACAGGTTTGGAGCGAGCCCCCTTCGGTCAAGGAGCTACTCACCTTATCCAACCTTCAGGAAATTGCTGCTAGTGCTTCCGCTGCAGATCTCATGGATTTGGCGCTCCCCTTTTTCGATAGCTTTCCCTTGACTGAGGAGGAAAAGCTGAGGGCTGAAGCTCTGAAGAAGAAGGCTGTTGAGGAGCAACCTCTGTTGGTTATTAGATCAACTGAATACGAACAGGAGGGGGATTAACCCCTTCTCAAAAAGACTAGATCCAATCCTCCCTCCAGCAGCAAGAACAAGACCATCCCCAAAAGCAAGGGGAAGAAAGCTAGAGAGACTGACCTAGAGGAGAAAGTCCGTGCTTATGTTCAGGTTGAGTTTGGAGAACCTTGGAGGCCTGTCTTTTCAAGGGCAGATAAGTTAGTTCTTCATTCCGGGGATTCCATAGTTTTTGAGCCCTCTGCTGCCTTGGCAGTTGCTCAAGGTATGTAGCTTCCCAAGGATGAAGAGATTATTAGGAATCTAGGGCTGGACCAGTTGCTTCCATCTGCCCCAGTGGATGCCGTGAAGGTTTATTCTTTTTCATCTATTTGTTTAATTCCTCAAATTTGTCTTTACTATGAATCTACTAACATTGTTATTGTTGATCATGTAGAGTCTGTACCAAACTATGGCACTATGTGCCACTGCTGAAGCTCAGTCTTTTTCCATTAAGAAATTGGAAAGGGACTTAGGCAATGCTGAGAAGAAGTCTTCGCACTGGGCTATGAATGCGAAGATTGCTTCTGATGCGAGGGATGTCTACAAGAATCGCCTGACAGTTTGAGGCAAAGGTACAGGCTCTGGAAGCTGAAGTCCAGCGTTTAAACGATGCCATTGGTACCTGCATTGCTGTTGGGAGGCAAATGCAAGGACGCTACTCCACCATCGTGCGTTTATACAGCGCAAAAGCGTTTAGGTTCGGCTTCAACCAGGGCTCTGGTGACGAGTCGAAGGACCCAGAAGCCTTTGATGCTAACATGGGGGTGTCATTTCCTTATGCTGAGGAACTCAAGGCTCAGGAAGCTGAGGTACTTTTTGCTAAGATGGTGAAAGCTCATCCAGAAGTTCCTCTAGCCTCAAGCTTGCCAGCTCCTCCATCCTCTGACCTGCTGACCCCTCTTCCCACCAATCCAAATGTGGTGGACACCTTTAACTCTACTCCCTTTGATCCAAAAAGGAAGTAGAGTTGTGTAATTGCCTCACTTTTTTTTCTTCTTCCTTTTTTTTTTTTTTTTTTTGTTTCTTTCCTTGTTTTGAAAGAACAAATGTAGAAACTATAACTTTTGCAATGTAATGATTATATTTATTCTAAAGTCTTCTTCATGTTTATGAATACCTCTGGTTTCTGTACAATTATATTACAAAAATATGCTCCTCGCCAGGAGGAAGGCTTATTGCCTGAGAGCTTTGGATCTTTTGCGATCCGAAGTAAAAATAGTTCAGATGATGAGAAGGGAATCCCTTAGACCGTTTAGTTATTACTTGAGGAAGGTTTTTTCATCTAACATTCCAACTATCAAGGGAACCCTTCTTGCCACTGATTTACAAGGAATGTACATATCAATGCTTGTTTTTCCTTATATTATTTTGATGTGGGATAAAATTTCCCATGTGTTACGCAACATTCAACCAATCAAGTATGGATATACGGGTGTGTCGCCATAGAGAACTTTCCCTGTTTAGACTTACACCTTGCTAGCGTAGATTCAGACTTCCATCGTTTGAAATAGCACCCTTTGGCTGAATATTGAACTTGAATCATCCGAGGTGATTTATTAGTTAGCTAAGAGGCTGAAAAGAGTTGTATTGTGCTGGACTCCTAATGAATGACGTAATAAACTCCTCGGTCATGAACCCGGGAGGAGCTGTACTGCTCCGGAGCCCCGAGGTCCGAGAATTGTGTCAGACACTTGGAGTCCGAGGAGTTATGTTCCTTGGCTATGAACTAGAGAAGGACCATGCTGAGCTGGACTCTTGGGGTCCAAAGCGAAGTGTCCTCGGCTGTAAGCCGGAGAGGAACGTTTCTGAGTTGGACTCTTGGGGTCCGAAGTGAAGTGTCTTAGGCTGTGAGCTGGAGAGGAACTTTTTTGAGCTGGACTCTTGGGGTTCGAAACGAAGTGTCCTCGGCTGTGAGCCGGAGAGGAACTTTTCTGAGCTGGACTCTTGGGGTCCGAAGCGAAGTGTCCTCGGTTGTGCACCGGAGAGGAACTTTTCTGAGCTGGACTCTTGGGGTCTGAAGCGAAGTGTCCTCGGTTATGTGCCGAAGAGGAACTTTTTTGAGCTAGACTCTTGGGGTTCGAAGCAAAGTGTCCTCGGCTATGTGCCGGAGAGGAACTTTTGTGACTGGGAAATCCTATATACATTTGTTTTGGAAGGCTCTCCTTCATA